GGTGCCAGGTGCTGTTCTTGGCAGAGAGGTTACGGTGATGGACTAAACAATGTTCCTTGTCAAGTTAGAGGAGACAGACCAAAATAAATATCACCAAGAATATACTACCAATGAGCATCAATATATATACACACACACACACTGTAGTTTAGCAAATCCAAGGCACATCTCACGTCTCTGATATCAGAATACATTTTACAATGAATAATCTCTTAGATTCGATGAAATATGAATGTGTGGGAGAAAACATGTTGAAATGTGAACTATTGAAGAAAAAACTAAGGCAAGGTAAGGAACAGGGTGTGGGGATACTTTTTAAATAGGGAGCCCAGGGAAGGCCTCACCAATGAGGTAAGAATTAGAAGAATCTAAGAATATACTATACGTGAAAGTGCTTTGTAAAAATCCCTTATGCCATAAAAATGGAGAGAGAGAGAGAAAATTGAGATAAATTCACATATCACGCAAGTCACCCATTCAGTGGCTTTTAGTGTATTCAGAGCTATTCAAACATCGCCACAATCAATTTTAAAATATCAATGCCCCAAAAGAAACTCCATACATATTAGCAGTCATTGCTTATTTTCCCTCAATCCAGCTAGCCCTAGACAACCACTGATCTACTTTCTGTCTCTATTTTCAACTTTTCATATAAATAGGGTCATACAATATGTAGCTTTGGGTTTCTTTCACTTAGCGTAATGTTTTCAACGTTCATTCATGTTGCAGCTTGTATCAATGCTTCATGCTTTTTTATTGCTGAATATTATTCCCTTGTGTGGATAGACCAAATTCTATTTATCCTTTCATCAGTTGATGGACATTTGAGTTGTTTCTACTTTTTTGGCTATTATGAATAATTCTTCTATGAACATTCATGGGCAAGATTTTTTTTTTAAAGGTATGCTTTTTGATGAGGAAGATTAGCCCTGAGCTAACATCTGTTGTCAATCTTCCTTTTATTTTTTTTCTCCCCAAAGCCCCAGTACATGGTTGTATATCCTAGTTGTAAGTCATTCTGGTTTTTCTATGTGGGATATTCCTATTCCTTTGGGTATATACCCAGGAGTGGAATTGCTAGGTCATATGGTAAGTCTGTGTTTGACCTTTTGAAGAACTGCCGGACAGCTTTCTAAAGTGACTTTACCATTTTATATTCCCACTAGCAGTGTATGAGGGTTCTGATTTTTTCTAAGTCCTCACCAACACTTGCTATAATCTGTCTTTTTTGTTATCAGTATGCCAGTGGATGAGAAGTGGTATCTCGTTGTGGTTTTGATTTGCATTTCCCTCATGGCTAATGATATTGAGCATCTTTTCATGTGCTTATTGGCCATTTGTCCATCTTCTTTGTAGAAATGTATATTCAGATCCTTTTTTAGTTCGGTTATTTGAAGTTTTATTATTGAGTAATAAGAGCTTTCTGTATATTCTAGGTAGGAGTCCTTTATAAGATATGTGATTTGAAAATATATTTTCTAAGAATTGACCTGTGATGTGACTTATGGGGCTGTATATAGGAAGTAAAGATCTCTTCCCATGTCCCAAATTCAAGGATAATTTATAGTGATTTTCTTTACTAAGTGCATCATTTTAGGGTTTGGACAGAGTTTAATGTCCTGTTGCAAGCAAGCTAAAAGAATTGCACAAACTAATATTTTGCAACAAAGTGTTCCCCTGGCTTATCTTTCTTTTTGTGGTAAAATCTTGAACTTGTGTCATACTAGGGGAATCTCTGCATATTTCCAAAAGCAGGGCAGTACGGTCAGGGCTCAAGGTCAGCTCAGCTCACCTCAGTTCAGAATTGACCCTGTGAACCTGTGGATCTTGGCTTGTCCTTGAAATAAACTCAAACCTCTAGGGTCATTATTGGGCTGGGTCAGCAGCTTAAGCTTTTTTAAAGATGGCCTGATGATTAGTGAAGGGGTCAGTGTGCTTGTCTTGGTGAAAACATAAATCCAGTCCTGAGTAATGAATTCAATTATTCTTAATGCATGGTAAAACAGTGAAGCTCCAGGAACACACAGGGTTTCCCAGCAACAATTCCCAAGCAATGCTGATGTCAGTAAGGAGGGGATGAAGTGCCAGAGCTCATGTAAATAAAACAAAAACCCTTAACAAAACAGCGCTATCTACTTAGCATCAATGTTCTTGTAAACCAATCATTCTGTTCTTGTAAACTGATGATTCTGTTCTTAACAGGTCACATTTGGCATATCATAGCTCTAAAGCAGAAATGCAGTAGTAAGAATTATATGCCTTGTTGAAAATAGAGTGCCTTTTGAAAAGTATTGTAACTTCAGTGAAACACCAAAATATGATTGAAAGAAGTATGCTCATAGCAATGAAGGGATGGAGGCCTTTTTGGTGCTTCCTTTCTCCTTTTTAAGGAGAAAGAAAAAATGAACATAGAGTTGGTTGTATGTCTCTCAATCTGCCTCCAGGCCCTTATAATTAATTTTAAATTAAGTCAATTTTTGTCAAAGAACCAACATGAGAATTAACATGTTGTATTTTATTTTTCAGTCAATAGATAGATAGATAGAAATATAGATATGGGTAGTTGTTTGAATAGAAATAAATATAGTCATAGATAGTTGGATGAAAATAATAATAAAATACTTTGGGAATTCACATCAGTTTCCTCTTTATTAATTGATGTAAAAATTCTTAGAAAAAGTCAAAAAGGGAAGTGAACGAAAGAGAGAAGGAAGAGGAGAGAGGGAGGGTGAGAAGAAAGGGAGGGGTAAATGAGTAAGGAAGTCAATTCCAGAAATAGGCAATGAGGGAGAAGTTCAATATTTGCAGATATGTCATCTCTTGGAAGCTTCACAAGAATTTTGGGGGTTGATCCATTTGACACATTTTAGAGACAAGAAATCTCAAGTTCAGAGAGGTTAAGTAACTTATTCAAGTTCATAGCTAATAAGTATCTAGGTCTCGTTGTCCCATGAGGGAGACTTAGGGTAAATTAACTGTAAACACCAATCCAGGTGGAACCCAACAAGCATTGATTTTCCTAAGTACTGTACGCCCAATGGCCTTCAGTGCCTGTTGAGGTTTCACACTGAGACAATCAGAAATACACCCCAAAGACCTCTTCTGCATGGTAAACATATTTTCTGTGTTGATTTACTCTCCTCAATATATATTTTTAAACCATACTCTGGTTTCCATATTTGCCTGTCCCATAGGTTCTATCTTTAATTTCAAACCATCTGATGGAATATTTGACTGTGATACATCAGTGTGTACAAATATAAGTGAGTATGTATTTATGTGTACTCACACATTTTGTATGTGTGTGTGGGTATTGCAGAAATGGGAAAATCCTTCCAATATCAACTTTCACAGTTTTTCTGCCAAATTTTCCAGAGGAAACAAAGCACAGTCATTAAGAGCATAGGCTTGGGAGTGTGACTGTTAGTGTGTGACCCTCTCCTCTGTCACTTATTAAGGATATGATCTGGGACATTTCTTAACCTCTCTCAGCATTTAGTTTGCTTCTCTGTAAAATGAGGGAATATGAGTGAGGACAGGGAAATCTCTGAGAATAATGCCTGACACATAACAAGCATTATATAGTGTTTGCTGGTTCTCTCGCATGCTCACCTGCAATGCGTGACTAACTCATCTATTCAACTCCACTCTGGCCTTCTTAAATCTCTTCTCCACACTGAGCTCAACAAAACCTCCCCTTTAGGTAACATCACTCTTCAAGATAAAGCAGAAATTCCTTTAAGTGACTTCTAAAGCTCTACATTGTCACGGTCAGGATCAATCTACATCTTTGACTCATCTTAAACATAATCCTTCATTCATTCCAACTCAGCCCCTCTGTCTTTCTTCAGTTCTTTAGTGTGGCTTTACACATGCTCTCTGTTCTGCCCAGAAGGTTCTTTCTTCCCTTCACTACATAGCAATGTCCTAGTGACCCTTTAGAGCCCAACAGCTCAAGAGTCTTTTCCTCAGGGAAGCCTTTGTTGATCTTTTTATTAAGCGAAATTTCTTTCTCCTGGTTTTCATAGAACTTCATATTTCTACTAAATAGAACTTTCCACAGTCTAATTTTACATTTTTTTACTCAATTATTTGCATAATGGCTACAACCCTCATTAGACTATAAGCTCCATGAGGGTAAGGGCTGCACTTCCTTTTGCTCATCAGTGTATGGTGGATGACTAATGATGCACGTTCTGTAAGTGCTGCGGACTGAATGTTTGTGTCCCCTCAGAATTCATATGTTGAAACCTAATGTCCAATGTGATGCTGTTTGGAGGTAGGGCCTGTGGGAAGTGATTAGGTCATGAGGACAAAGCCCTCATGAATGGGATTCATGCCCTTATAAAAGAGGCCCCAGAGAGGTCCCTCTCCCTTTTTGCCTTATGAAGTTCCAGAGAGAAGATGGTCATTAATGAAGGAGCAGTTCCTCAGCAGATTTTGAATCTACTGGCACCATGATTTTGGAGTTCCTAGCCTCCAGAACTGTGAAAAATAAATATTTGTTGTTTATAAGCCACTCAATTTATGGTATTTTTGTTATAGTAGCCTGAATGGACTAAGACAGTAAGTAATTGTCAAATGAATGAAGAAAGGAAGGAAGAAAGTTTGTGTGTGTCAAGTAAGAGGAATTTGATTTTGTAGTTGAGACAGTGACAGTTCATAGCATGACTGAATAAAGAACTTCCGGGGAGGGCAGATATGGCTGCAGCTCAGAATACAGCACAAAAGGGCTGATACTGGGACCAGCGAAGGAGAGGCCACTTGCAGAAAGAGAAGTCAACATGAGAACAGAGGGGTCCCAAAATGAACTCCTCTGACCTCAGAGTTTGAGCTGATAAGGTAACAATACACACTCTGCTCACCGTACACAGATAAGCTGAAATGATGGATTGTGACATTTTCTTGGCCATGCTCTACAAGTAAAACTCAGATTTTAATTTTCTTGCCAGAACCTCTGAAGCCCAGCTCAGGCCCTTTTGTTGCTCTGTTTTCAAAAGTATCATGGCCGCCTTTCTGCTTGATGTCTAACAGCTCAGTGATTCTGAAGTGGGAGCAGGTTGGAAGTAGATGATTTTGCAACCCAATGTGATCATTTTATAATAGGTTCTAAACACAGGTTCCATCTGTTTCAGGACAGAATGATCTGATCTGATTTATTCTGACTTGCCTCCAAAAAATATCTTCAACCAGGAAAAAAAATTCAGTTTTGGTAATCTCTAAAGGATAAACGTAAAAAGGATATTAAAATGAGACCAAAAATTATACATTCATTTTACATATGAAAAAGCTCAAGCCCAGAAATATGAAAATTTGCTAAATGTCCCACAGCTAATGATAGCAAGTCTCCTAACATCCAGTCCAAAACCATATCTCATTCTACAAAATAGCTCTTTTAGCAATTTAGGGAAAAGTGAGGGATTATTGAAATGGTTCTCATTTATGCCACCCTCCTGATGCCTGAACATGTAGGAAAAAAACCTAAAAGTGGCTCCTTCAGATGCTTGAGCTTAGCCGATTTCTGTATTTTAGATGAAGGTCTGTGAACTTTTTACGTAGTCAGAGTAAAAATTTCTTGCTTTTTGGATCATAGGGTCTTTATGACAACTGTTCAACTTGCTGTTGTAGTGTGAACCAAACCATAAGTAACATGTAAAAGAATAAAACTGTATTTGTTATTAAAACATAATTTAAAGAGGGGTAAAATAATGACTGTCATACAGATACAAAATATACATGAGTTAAAGATTTTATTAAACTTGTATGAGGAAACCAGTCAGTTCTACCAATTCAAAGGAGAAGCCAAAGAATAGACATGCTTATAGATCAAGGATATTGAAAGGAATGTACAAATGAAGGGAAAACTGACTTTCCCAAAGGAGAGAAGGAGAGTTGTCTCTCCACTGGAAAGAATTTAGTTACATGTCTATAGATAAGAACTACGTTTGCTTTGCTCTCAGTTACTTATATCCTAGAGTTGTAAAAGAGCTCCCATGGAGTCCAGAATCAGAGGGATGTGCTATAGACAGCGCTCGTCTTTCACATGCATTACAAAAACAGCCGGAGGATGTGAAGCCTCGCCTGTCTGCCCCTGTCTTAGATGAACTGAAGGGAGGGAAAGAAAGACAACAGCTATTTCTTCAGCTAAGAGTCTACAAAGGCAGCAAGGTAAGCATTTCTCTGGTTGATATCACAGGAAATAAAATACAATCAAAACAGCTTTGGAGTGAAGTCGATGGAAGGGTTCCGTTGTGGACAGCTGTGGATGCTGTAACCTTTCTGCACTGAGTATGCCACATCAAGGTTTGGAATCCCAATCTCTTCATGCGTAAGTCAGGAAAAATAAAAACCACATATTCTAATCCCCTTGAATTTCCTGAGGATTCAACAAGATAGCGGATGTGAAAATCTTGGAAATAAAGCACCAGAATAATTATACAAAGAACCCACACATAGAGCTCTAATTTAAAGAGCTGGGTTAGTGACTGATGGCTTCGAGCTTCTTGTTCTAGCTTCAATTCAATTTGTTCCTCATCAGTGCTTGCCACCTAGGTAATTTGAGAGCAGATGGCAAGAGGAATGGAGAATGTTCCATTCAGAACTGCCGCCTACCTGCCCCTCACTCTGGGCCATCGGAGCCTCCCTGTGTGCTCTCTAATCCCTCATCACTAGCCCAGCAAAGTGATTTTTATTGCTCGTGATATAGTCCTTATTGCCTAATTAGAGGCACTGAGAAGAAGTGGGAGATGACTTCACTTGAGTTCATTAGGAAATAATATATCAGGTCTTGTTTAATTACAGCTGAATTACTCCCACCTATTATAGAGCAGAACCTTACTGGAATGATAGAGGGCAACAGAAGTCTCTGTCTTCCATTATTACAAAATCCACATTAGCTCAGTAGGAAAGGGAAGCCTTGCTCATTTGGGTTGGAGTTGCAACACATGCACTGGCAAAGGGTTTTATCTAATTGTGACCCCCTTATCACCAGATAATATAATCAGTGTCACATGCCATTCAGTGAGTCACTCTTTGCAGCTGCTGAGGGCTCCAGTGGAAGGAAAATGCTAATTCTTATTGTTGGCAATTGCTTCTGAAAGCCATAGAAAAACATCTCACTCATTGTCTCTAACTGCTTAATTGCTGGACATAATGTCTTGCTCTAAAAGGGAGGACAGAATGGATTAAACAAAAACATAACATACTTTTAAATATGAGGCAAAAATATAAGACTCCCTTCTTTAGTTCTTTTCCTACTTAAAGTAGCGTGTATCTGCTTATTGCTATATACATCTGCATATCTGACATGTATTTGTTGCATATCAACTATGTAGCCAGCTCTATTTTAAACTTTTGGGGGGATACAGAGTTGAATAAGACCCAGTCCCTGTGCACCACGAGGCTACACTCAAAAAAAAGAGATAGTACATGTATACAAATATTTACAGTATGATACTTAGAAGAGCATTTCGGATGAAGGAAATTTTCATTGAAGAGATGGAACTTAGGATAAATGCTAAAGAAAGGATAGAATTTAGACTTAAAAATCACTGGGGAAAGCGCATTACAAATAAAATGGATATTGTAAGCTGTCATATACAGACATGATAACAAGGATCATGTATCAGGAACAATTAGGATGCTGTTTAGATCTCCTAAAGTGCAGTGAGGAAAAAGACGAAAGGCTAGACAGGGTATGAGAATTCTAACAGACTTTAATTCTAATGGACTTTGGTTTTTCTTTTTGGTCACCCAGTGTCTCTTACCCTGTTCCAACCACATGCTGATTTCCTTCATAGAATTACTCATTGTCCATAAGCTAATGAGGCTGTAATCAAATTGAGGAGCGTTATCTTCCCCTAACGAAGGTATGGCTACTTAATCTGGGTTGGTTAAATTTATTTTCTTTCTAAGATATTTAAATATTGAACGGAATGACAAAGGACCCAAATGGTGCCCAAAAACGATGGTTGAAGCTGGCTCCTAAGTAGTTTTATCCTATTTCCAAAGCTGGATCTCCTGGAAACTGTTCATTTTGTGGCTAGCCTCTATCTTCACTTACTAACTTCTCTTTTTAATTAAATTATCCATAAATTGCCTATAACCAACCCGTGCAATATTGTTATAATCCATGGAGATCCTAAAAGCTATACTATGGAATATAGATATAATTCTACATTCGTACTATCAAGTTTCTGTACTATTCGCTCTTCTCAGATGTATTCAAATTATCAGTTTGCAGTAATTTTAGGGCCAGAAGTGGGGAATAAATTGTGATATAAATAGCTATTATGAGATCACTGTTTCTTCTGCTCATAGAGTGAGTCTGCAATTTCGCAACAAAAGTTATTTATTCTAAATATTTTAGAATCTCTCTTCTGCATCATTTTATGAGGCAACAATAGAATGACTCACAGGAAGCCTGCGACGTGGGTGCCATATGCAGCACTGACGTGTGGTGCATGAAGGGTCCTTGAGGTGGTCTGTGTAGCAGTCTCCATCTCATAGAGAAGTTCCTACTCTGGAATCTGGTTTCCCTTACCACTGACCCATTTCCATAAAGGCATTGAGGAGTCCTGTCCAAACACAAGCTACATACAAAGCCATTCTTTGGCTCTGAGGCCTTAGTCTAACTTAATGTATCTAACCTCTCCTTTGCAGAAAGCAGGACTGCAGAAGAGACCAATGTGGATAAAACACCCGGATCAGGAAAGACTGCCTGGCGGAGTATGGGTGAGGCACAGCAATGCAAAACCATGAATTGCAGAGTGGATCTTCAAAGGGCTGGCACCCATGAACTCCCACTATTAAAACAAGAGAGAAGTTAATCTTAACCTGAGGCTGGTTTTGGAAGCATCATCATTGTGCAGAGAACTTTTCAGGCTTTTGGACCCAGGTAATCTGACGTCAGAATCAAATGGAAAAATCCCAGCTCCAGAGGCATCTGGCTCTTCACTTTCTCTGATTTGTACTAGTGCAATTCAGTGATGCCAGAGAAAAATCACACAGTGAGGCAGATTTGTACTGCCAAGGAATCATGATTACCAACCTCATCTTGGCTGTCAACAATGTCCCACAAATGCACAGCAATTCTTTTGTTAGTTCTCTCTCCTTTGCCATCTAGTGCCTGTTTCAAACCTCACCACTCTCCTTCACAGAGAAAGCAGACACCATCAGATAGGCGCTCCAATAATGTTTTGCAAAGGAAATTTCCAAGCCTCCCTTTCTCTATTCTTACTTCTATCAAAAAGAAGGTGATCATTCTTCTATCTAAATTGAGTATTTTCACTTACATTATAGAACTTATCACATCTTACCTGACACTATTAATTATATCTACATCTCTCCTTCATCTTTCTGTTTCTCCCCAGATGTGCCCTCCAGCTATTAATAATATGCAAGTCACTTCCATATAGAAAAAGTCTTAACTGGATCCCACATTTTCTTCCAGCCACAGCATTATTTCTGAATTTCTCTTTGTAGTCAATCTTCTCTAGATTTGTTACTCATGTTTCTCAATTTGCACACTCACCATGCAGTCCTCCTACCTCTCTCCAATCTGGATTCTATCAATACTCTGAAAAAATGGTTCTAATATCTCCAATAACCATCTTGATATTAAATACACTCCCCAGTTTTCAACCTTCCTCTTACATTAACTATTGGCAATATTCAACAATGCAAGCCACTCCTTTGACATACTCTCTTATCCTTTGGCCTCTGTATCACCATATCCTCCTATATTCCTCCTACTTCTTTGGTCACTTTTTCTCAATTTTTTTCCTTAAGTGGATGCAAAGTTCAGTCATAACATCTTTTCTCACAATATTCTCTCTCCTGATTCTCTCATATATTCTGTGATATCACAGACATTCAATTATTGTTTTACGTTTTGTTAACACTCAAATTTAATTCTCTAGTCCAGTAACTCTCCTTAGATTTCTAGACATATTTAGTAAACAGCCTTCTAAGAATTTCTACTTGGATGGTTATCTCAACCTCAACCTGTGAATGAGCTTATCTTTTCCTTAACAACTTGGTCTCCATGCATATTTTTCTATCTCTGCCAATAGTGCCCCCATTCTAATCAATCGTACAAGTGAGTTCTCATATCCAATGAATGGATTTAAACCACGTTTACTTTAAAATTCCGAATACAAATTTGATGTCCACACCTTTCTCTATTCCACTGCAATAGAACAAGTGACAAAATTTCCTCATCCAAGTCATTGTCTACCCTCTCTAAGCCATTCTTTGCATAGCTAGAAAGCACGCATGCTATTTTCCAACAGAACTCTCAAAAGCCATTTCTTCTAGATCAAGACCCAAATCCTGAGTGTGGATTTTAAGTTAGTGAAGAAATATAGACCAGTGGTTAACAGATTGAGATCTGGACCTATCCTGCCTGAGTTCAGACTCTGAACAAGTGTCTCCCCAATCTGTGCAGCAGCTTTCAATTGTTTCCAAGAAAAGTTTCCTCTAGGTGAATAAGGAGTCTATGTCTTGATGTGACGGACTGATAAAAAGATGAGGAAGAGCATTACAGAGCAAAGAATTTTTGAGAAATCTGATTTCATGTTTGAGAATCAATGAGAAAGACTAACCTGACCTAAGCTTTCTGGGAATAACTGATTAAAAAACAAAATAGAGGCTGCATGACTGGCAGCTCTGAGAGACCAAGAGAGAACATTCCTGGTTGCACCACTTCCCTACTTTAGGTTTTAGTTAGCACTGTCACATGTACACTCTTCCTTCTAAAATAAAGCTAGCATTATCGACTTTGGTAGCTCCCTCAGGAAGACAATAAATTTGGCCCATTGTTAGTGACTTCCCTCAACACACTTTCCCAACTCTTTTGACTCTTTAAGTTCTCCCTTCTCATCTAATTCTGTATCACATCCTTATCCTTGTCAGTTGAAACATTTCTAACAACTCTATTGAGGTATAATTTGCATATCATAAGATCACCCTTTTGAATTTTAGAAAATTTATCAACTTGTACAACCATCATCATTAATCAATTTTAAAACATTTTCGTTATCCCAATAAGATATCAATGATATAAGATATAAATTTATTTTCATATAAGTGAAGTTGCACACTATGTGGTTTTTGTGCCTGACTTGTTTCACTTAACATAACGTTTTTGAGGCTCATTCTTGTGGCAGCACATATCAATAGTTCCTTCCTTTTTATTGCTGAATAGCATTCCTACTATGTAGAGGATGTACCACACATTTTCTAATCATTCTCCAGTTGAATAGTTTGGTTGTTTCCATTTTTTGGCTATTGTGAATAATGCTGCTGTTGGGGAGGATAAAATTTCCCCCTTTACCCCGTCTTGAGTTCTTACGGCTGGACAAATAATAAAATCTACACAAGAACTGATTAACAGGAAAACAAATATTTTATATGTATGTATGAGAGATCATATTAATGATGCTCAAAGAGTGAACAAATTAGGCAGTTTATGTATCTTTTTACACAAAGAAACAATAAATTTGTGAGGAATTGACAGGACAAAGGAACTTAGGTTTGGGTTATGTGATTAGTGGGGAATTTAAGTAGAGTCTTGGTTTGAGGTAGTAAATAAGTGAAAGTAACAAGGTTTGTTCATACAGGCTTCTCAGTCCTGAATTCCTTAGCTCTGGTGATAAGGATGTCTCCATCTCCTAGTGAGGAAGGGTACCTTTCACATGGCAGATTTATTTCTTGCTTTCAGGGGGAATAGAGAGAGGAGGGCCAAAACTTTAAGTCAGAACAAGTAACTTTAATTCAAAATAAATCAACATGCCATTGTGGGATGTTTTGGGGTGGCCTGCCCTGGGCTCCAACACTGCTATGAACAGTAACAGGAAAGTTTTTGGTTGAACGTATGTTTTCATTTGGGCAGATATCTAGGAGTGGAATTGCTGGGTTGCGTGGCAAATGTATTTTTAACTTTTTAAGAAACTGCCAACTCTTTTCCAAAGTGGCTGAACCATTTTATGTCAGTTGAATTTTATCTTAAAAACAAGCAAACAACATCAACAACTCTTTCCTCCAAGGAATTAATGTGAGGACAGAGAATATCCACATTTCTTTTATTTTAAGGCAATATTAATTATAAAATAGGCTATTGAGTTAATAAACGTTTGAATGAGGCCATGTAGCGGGGGATATTGGAGAAACACTACATAAATCAATTTAATGTCATTACTCAATTTCAGAAACTTTGGAAAAATTAATATTTCTTCGAATCACAAATGAGTTTTGAGTTTTATCACATTGCCTCCCACCTGCCAGTGGCTCTTGCTGCCTGCTTTCCTGTATTGAGAAAGATTCTGCGTCTAGATCTTTGTGCAGGCTAAATGGGAAGAAGGACACTGATTAATTGATGAGGGCTCTTCTGGTCCAGCAGGAGAGGGGATATCTTATCCTTTGGGCCATTTATTTACTTTCGTGTATTGGAGATTAATGTGTTTCATCTTAGAAGAAAAAGATGCATCAAGCAAAACCAATTTTTAAAAGAATCTTTGAATAACAAACAATTCCTTGATTCATAGGAATGAATTGCTTGTGGTCTAATTTCAGGCAGAATCATGGGGGTGTTGGGGGGAGATCCTCCTTAAAAATATGATTTGCATCAAATAATTTAAGGCAACATTTTTCTAATTTTAGGTATTAGTCTTGACCTATGCAGTCTATTATTCTTAATCCAGAAATAAATCATTTTCTGCTTGCTTTCCACTTGGATCTGCAACATCTCCAGCCTGCTCGGTCTGCTTAGCCTTTTTAAGACAACATTAACCAAAGAAGGGTTGACAGGGGCACAATGTACATATGAAATCTTTCTTTGTGGTGGGGAGTCAGCCAAAATCACAGATTTCCAGTCTTACACAATAGGAGATTTGCAATTTGCCCAGCCCTTCCCACCCACTGTGGCAAGTGTTCTCTTTTGCAACCATCAGCATTCTCAAGGCAGCTGAATGTGAGTCTGTAATTACAAAGGCAACAATGGCTGCAGGGCAGAAAATGTGCACGAAATATAATACATATGAGAGCAGCATTACGCCCAAAGTGCTCTGATGGTCTCAGGACCACACCAGGTGGTAAGCCATCTCCCTCAATTTTCATTTCCACCCACCATTTGTCATATAAGCTTTGCCCAGTCACTTACCATCCCAGGGTGCTGTCCTCAGAAAGGATGATGTGATTGGCCCTTTCCTGGCCTGGCAGGAGGATCTCCCAGCTGGATGAAGTCATCTAGACAAAGCTGACAGGAAGTGCTTCATTATATGGGCAGAAACAGAACTGGAGTGGGAGAAAGATCTACTTCAAAGCCATGAGTACATAGAGGGAGAGATGGGGATCAGATGGTAAGACTTGAAGGGCCTGGAAAAAGCTTTCCTGTCTCTGCAGAGCCCCAATAGTGTGGCTTTTCTTAATGGCAAAAACCGATGTGGTAGAATCACCTCTATACTAAAACACATAAATGCAATGTAACAGGAAGATAAACCTTCTTAAAATCCCTTCAGCACTTCTCAAACTTTAATGCGCACACGAATCACCTGAACATTTTGTTAAAATGCTGATTCCAGTTCAGGTGTCTGAGGGAGGGTCTGAGATTCTGCATTTCTAACAAGCTCCACGGTATTGTCAACATTGCTGCTTCTAGGGCCACATTTTGGATACACCTCCTTTCCCGTTTTTTTTGGTGGTGAAGAAATGAAACCCAAAGATGTACAGTGATTTGGTCAAGAGCTCACAGACACCTTTGTGGTATCTCACAGATGCTCTTGTGAGTCTAGGTCTGGGGTCTCCTCAGGCACCTTCCCTAACCAAAGCTTTCTTCACAGGAGCAACAGGAAGCAGCAGAAGGCGCACCAAGAGCAGTTAATATGGGGGCTGAACAGACACAGGTCTTACTGGATTGTGATTTCAGAAAATAGGGAAACAAAGAGGGCAGGTTAAGGATTGGATTTTTTATTCAACATTCAGCTTGCTGGGGGATGTTAGAAAGAGTATTACTATGCATGTCAGGAACCAGTTATTCTGTCTTCAATTAACAGCACATTTTAAGTAAAGAATTCCACTTCTATTGCTGGTATTGCTCTCAGTTATAAAGTAGGTAGGTCTAGAATGATCTGAAGAGTGATTCTATCTCTGACATTTTATGATTCTCTAATGGATTTAAATATGCAAGAACTGAATGATTTTTTATTTATCTGTTTCTTTCTTTCTTTTTTTTTTTTTCCTTTCTGCCTCCAGGAAGCATAATATCTGGTTGAGAGAGAAGAAAAATGCTTTAGGCAGGGTCAACACTTTTTAGAAATCTACACTACTCAATTAAGTGTTCTTTACTACATTTCCAGAAAAGGAGAGTTGGTAAAGATGTCTAGAGCAAATAGCAGTGAATAAACCTGTGTTTAAATTTCTAATAAGTACATTTGAATAAAGACTTGGACCATGGTACATGAGAAATGGAATTAGTAGAAAGTATCTTTATATGGTGCATATTTTTGTTCTATATCACCTTTGAAAATGTACATCATAAAAATGCTAATATCAACATGCTCCTGTTAAGATACACCACATTTCATATTTCTATCTATATCTCTAGCTAGGATGCTATTGGCTAAGAAGTTTTTGCTTCTACTAAAACATGTAGAGAAACGTATTCTTTGTACTTTGTAAAGTATGTTTCCTATGCTTGAGTTATCATTTACTCAAGCAATATTTTTTTCCCTTAGTAAAAGAGGATAGTTACCCAAATCTAATCGTATCAACAGTTTCCCGTTTCATTCTATTATCCTTGTATTTTTAATGCCTGGTTTATTTAATGAGATTTGAAAGTTTCATAATGAGAGTATTTGAAACAGAATTCATTAACAGATAGTTTGCTACCATATTCAGAAAATTACATGCTAATAAAATAGGAATATGATTTGAGAAATTTCTAATACAAATTGATTTTTCCATTAATGATTTCAGTGTCCAATCCTGGGAAAGGAGTTTACCCTGTAAGTAAGATATGAATGGAAATAGGCATTTACTGAGTCCCTGCTCCATACGCAACCCCATATTAGACACTTTGGGGTCACAATAATGTAAGATGTGATTCCTGCCTGTTCAAGATTGTTGTCTAGTTAGAGAGATGATTGACAGACATGAACCAATTAGAGAGCAACATGAGACAAAATAGAGTTGAATTAGTGCTATATTGTGTTGTTTTAGACTGCAAGTAATAGCTTAATTTGGAGACTTGGAGGAATATTAGACTAAGCTAAGTTTCAATGAGAGTAAGACAGTATGAACCACCACTAAAATTGAGAAGGATGGGAAACAGACTTAGTCCAATTCACCACGATTCAATTTTCTCTAGTTGCACATACTTTTGTTTGTCTGTTTTTGGTTTGTCTATCCCTTTAAAACAGACTATCCATGATCTTTACCAGCACATAGAAAAACAAACTATCAAAAAACCTAGACTCGTGTCCAGGTTTCTGCTATGCAGAAAATTTGCACTTAGCTTGGATCTGAGAGAACAAGCATTCCAAAGGGAAAAGGAGCAAATAATAGTGAAGTCACCTCCATTGAAATAAACAAATGTCTTCTTTTGCCTGACAAACAGGAGAGTCGCTTTTGAGGAAAGCACATTATCTGTCATTCAGATTTATTTCACTGTCCAGATCCCATCCGGATTTATGTCTGAGGACTGTGTTGAATAAGGAGACCGTAAGTAAAAAGTGAAAGAGCAGTTTCATTTCATAAAGTCTGTAAGACATTGGGATATATGAGCAACACTATTTTGGTATCTTTTATAAAAGTGTTCCTTTGAAACAGAGCACATGCAGCTTTTCATCTCCCAGATTCTTAGCTACTCTGGGTTCTGGCAGAAGGTAATTTCTGGATCACACAGGGCATTTGGAAGATGTCTAGCAAAAGACTCCAGCCCCTGCTAGAGAACAATGAAGTCCACTGGACCTACCAGTACTCAACCACAGCAGAAGACTAGAAAAGGAAAGAAAAGCCAATGCCAAACAGTAGCCACCTAAACAGCTTACTAGACTTGTGGTTAGAATCAAATGCACAGGAGACATCCCTGGGGGATTTTAGATGAATCGAAGTGGAGGCATTTTGCAATGAATTCGAGGGGAGGCGAGGGGCGAATGAAAGAAGATGGTGAAATTTGTGTTGTTATCTGAAGCTCCAGATACATAAATGCAGCCCAGAGCAATGCTGCATGTATCATATCGATAGTCATTCAACGTCTTGTAGTTTTCTAAATTTTCAGAAAATAATTGCTTTTTGATCCCTTCCCTACCTCTAGATGTATTTATTTCTTTCAAATGTTGATGTGTTTTCTTATTTTAATTCTATTTACTAAATCATTCCTACAAAGAACCCCTTATTGCATTAACTATTAAAGTCATAGTTTCCTATTTTCGTATATGTATATATATAAAACGCTTTTATTCTCCTTCACATCCTTCTATTTTCAGGAGAGCTTTGTAATACTTTTTCTTTGTCTCAACATAACTTCCAGTTCAAGCTGATGATTGCAACTTGGTTTTTGCTCCTAGGATCTTACATTTTCTACCAGGTAGCTTCATTTTCAGGACTGTTTGTCTCATCCTTTGGTTTCGGCTTTCCAGAATGATCTTCCCAAAATTTGTATGAAGATTTACCCTTCCCTGAGAGAGAGAAGGATATATCATTTTTGAATAGGTAAATGACTCAAGTGAGACTTTTAAAAGTTCTTCCATGGCCTTGTTCTAACAGGAATTTGTGAGAAAAGTCCATTACTTCTCAGGTCCACAAGTCAAAGAATCTTCAGCTTTCTGTGGCCATTTTGTAGTCACATGAAGAACAGAGCCAAAAAGAAATAAAAATAAGAGAGAGAGAGGGAGAGGGGACTGGAAGCATCCATACATGCTTTCTGTCCTTGGGGTCCCCAATAGCCTGATTCCTTTATTTTTTATCATGCTTGTCAGTTTCTCTAAAATTCATTGAAGAAAACATCTTCCTGTTTAATCTGCCCTTAGCTGAGTTTTTGTCACTTGCTATCAAAGAAATTCTAATATCATTCCTGTATATTTTCCAGGCATGTGATATGTAGAATGTCACTAATTCAAAATGAATGCTACTTACATTTTCTATTTCTATAATAATAATTTAAAAAGAACATTAGAAGCAATGAATTTCCCTCCCAGTGCAGATTTGGTTTACTGTCCCTATTTTCATTATGCTCCACCTCAAAGGCTGTGATTACTCTTGTTCTATTTAAATATTAGTTTGAAGTTTCATTGAAACTTAGACAACAGATCTCTTAGAATTTTTTTTAATGCTTATGATATTTTCCATGGACTTTTTAAAAAGATATATTCTCTAGTTATAGGGTGAAGATTCTATTATAAATCTGTTAGATATATTGTTAACTTGCTACTATTTCCCCCTATTGATGGGGGACAGTGTTTTGAGAAACTATGAGGGGACAGAATATTGGTTAAGTGCTCAGTATTGTGTTTTGAACATTTTCCTTTTATATTATAGTTTTGGTATTCACTTGTTTGGTCAATAAAAACTCATTTTCTTTTCAAATGTCAATAATGACCATACATTACTTTTATAATCAGAAAATAAGATATCATTGCAAAGATAAAGAATCTTCCTTTGTTATTTTTGTATGCTATCCATTTAAATAGGCTTAATAGCATTTTAGTCTTTTTGTCTTGCAATTTGCTTTGTCTGCCTGACATTTATAGGCTGTGTAGGTCCAAGTCACTTAACCTCTCTGGATCTCAATTTCCTCATCTGTGAAGAATGAATATTAATATGAACTTCAGATGAGCTATTGAGGAGAATGAAATGAGAACGTTTCAGTCTGAATACAAAGGTCAGTTCAAGGTATGGGAAAGCTTTAAATCCACAGGAGCATTTAATTTTCTGTCATTTTTATATATTTCTTCTAAACACAATGCTTTCTCAACCACAAAACACCCAAACACTGACACAGAACAGAGAAAATTATTTTATTTCTCTTGACTCAGTTGAATAGGAAATGTACTTAAACTTAAAGCCAATAAAGTTTGCATTCCTTCACATCTTCCATTCTCTAAAATTTGTTCCACTTTCTGGACTTTCAGTGCCTCAACATCCATATCTGTTTCATGGGCTTAACAGCGGTCTTGGATTTTGGTTTAGGATTAGAGATACTGTGTGTAAAATACTTAGTCTTTGACTGACACAGAGTAGGTGCTCAGTGGATTGTGGGGGTGTTTATGGCTTTGGGTCTAAGCACAGTTATGGCGCAAGGCTGTTCCATGCCTTGGAGAGAGCCCTGGACATAACTCAGAAGTCCTGGTGCTCCTAGGTCTGTGCCTTACAAAGCTGTATGATCTTGGAGGAAATGACAATGTTTCTCATAGTTTTCTTCTCCCTCTAAGAAATCTCTATTAGAATTCTTTTCTGACCACCTTGTATGGTTTTATCACAACCAAAGAAAATAATGATGTGTCTGAGCTTTTTAATTGCCTCCTTAACACCCCACAATAACTTTCTTTGTGATACTTCCAAGTTCCCAAGCTTGGCGTTTGAGATCTTTTATGGTTTGGTCTCTTAGAATTCCAACTAAATTTCTTTTATGTCCCATCTTAAATCTTTGCTCCAAACATGGTAAATTATCCGAATTTCCCTGAAGTCACTACACTATCTCTTGGGTTGGAAGTTTTTCCACAATGTGGTTCCCTCTGCAGAATATATTCCTCCCTCCTATCTCTCTACAAGTCTGTGTTTAGCTTTTTCTTTTTAGAAATTAAGCCTCGACCTGAATGTCGCTTGGTGCAGAAAAACATCTTTAATTCTTCAAAGACAGACTGGCTTCAGATTAGCACGTTATTATTCCCATTTACATCATTTATCAAATGACTCTTTCCTGATTTATCTCTGTACTTATTTATATTCCTCAGAAGTAATGTTTTCTCCATCTGTCCTGGAACACATTGCAGGAGCGTAAGAGCTATTTGTTGAATAGATAAAATAATAAAGCATAGATATACCCAAATCATTCTTATTTTAATACACTTGCCCAGACCAAATATCAGTTTTGAGGAGATGAGTGGGTCAAGTAACTAAAGTCTTCAGGGAAGAGGAGGACAATACCATAATATATTCTTTTAGATAGAGTTTTGAAATTTTAAATTGCTAAACAAATAGAAGGTTTCACCAGTTAAGAGAATAATAAGATATTCTTCTAACTATGTACTAAGGATTACGTTTGGAGCCAGCAACCTTTCAAAGAAGCTCTTTATATTTAAAAGTGTGGCCCATACAGAGGTTGGGGGTCAAAGTTGCTTCCTGACAACTGCTGAAGCTACGAAAAATTCCATCTTTCTTTTGACTTTACTGCCATCTGTTGTTCAAAGAAGTAATCACATTTCTATTATTTTTCAAAGTGTGACCCTAAAATACCTGACTATGGAAATGCTGGCTCCTGGACCCCAACGCAGAAATCCACCAAATCTGTCAGTGTGAGACCTGTGGGCCTATATTTTCAACAAGCTAACCCAGAAGAAGAGGCAAAGTCTTGGCGTAGGACTGGATGTATATCCATACTTGGTGTGCATAGGGCTCGACGCTACGATGCTATGTAGATGCTGAGTCTCCTGCTTTTTGAATAAAAGTGTTGTCATAGAATTACTGTTGACTCAACTGTTCAGACCTTTTCTTTTCCTTTGAACCTCAACCACCACCAGACCACCCCTCACTCCTCACTCCCAAGCCCACCTTGAGCGGAACAGTACAATTTTAAACATCACATGGCTTTTGTTACATTTTGTTTTGTTTATTCACTGATTTATCCTTCTAATAAATCTATTAATTTTAATTTCATTTAACCAAATGTATGTGAATAAATTGAGATAAGAGTAAACCAGTGTTCATGATTTCACCCCCATTAAAGACTCAATCCAGACTGGCCGGGTGGCTCAGTGGTTCAGTGTGCACATTCTACTTCAGTGGCCCAGGGTTTGCTGGTTCAGATCCCGGGTGTGGACATGGCACCACTTGGCACCCCATGCTGTGGCAGGCGTCCCACATATAAAGGAGAGGAAGATGGGCAGGGATGTTAGCTCAGGGACAGTCTTCCTCAGCAAAAAGAGGAGGATTGGCAGCAGATGTTAGCTCAGAGCTAATCTTCCTCAAAAAAACCCAAAAAAGACTCAATCCTTTGAAATAAAGTTTCTGCTTTTCCAAAACAAGTAGCTATCGTAGGAGAGGTCCCATATGACATAGTTATGAGTCATTAACACTTACTATGAAGCAGTTTCCGAATGAACTTTTCTATACCTTGGAAAAGTGAGATCAGGGCCCTGAGACCTGAGAATTATAGGATTGGTACCTCTGTGTTTGGAGGAAGGAGCAGGCAAAGGATCAGAGAACACAGGTCAAGAAGAGCAGTATTTCACCCATCTCCGTGGTGTCGGGGACTGTGATATCGGTGGAGCAGCATCAGACCGCCAGCCATCAGGAGCTAGAGTGGAATTTAAGAGTGATCAGAAAACAGGCCTAAATCAACACTTGCACTTCATAGTTTTGTCCAAAACTGGCTCTGCATAGCGCAGGAGCACCTTTATTCTATGACTTCCTCTTGCAGTGTTCCAAATTCTAGCTCCTGTTTGCTCACCGTGAGTGTGGTCTTCTTAGTTATATTCAAAAAATCTTCCTCTGGCCACAAACCTTAAATAAATAGCTATAATAATTACATCCTGTTCAGTTTATTAATATCATTTTCTAGTTAATTATAGCTGATATATAGCAAATTGGAGAGTTTTTTGTCTATTGGTATAATTTCTCCACTCCTGGTGGAACTCAGTTGTCAGTCACAATAGGTCATCAGTTCATTCTCTTTGAATGTGAGCATCCTTAACTTCTTCCTCCTAGAAATCTTTAAATATTTTATCACTATTTATCATGTTGGCATGCTGTAGGGTTTCTGGTAGACAAATTCTATCAAGCTAAGAGAGCATTATAAAGAAAGGTGACTGAATTATATCATGTGATTTTTTTCAGACATGTACTGAAAAAGTCACATTTATTTTTCTTTTCGAATCTATTAAGAGCATAAATTACACCAAGATACTTTATAATGCCAACCCAATCTTATATATCTA